ACACACCGACAATAAAATGGGCAGGCAAAGTGCATCACTCGTAACAGAAAATGTAATGTACATGAAAAGTCATGAACGATGCGAAGTACCTGACAGGCTGACACTAATATCACACATGCAAATGCAACATGRTACAATGTATCMTACAGGCTACTRCTAATGCACTGGMWCCACATGTCGAAAAAAATACAAGAAACAATAGTCTACAAGTCGTGTCGTAGCTGCCTAAATGATACAAGAAAAAAAAAAAAATGTACAGTCTGAACTCAGTAGTGTGCAACCGACGGCACTCTACGAACACCCTACTCAACCTACTGGCACCAAAATCATACTCTACGAACACCCTACTGCTACCAAAATCATACACACCAACAAGTAAAGCACGCGCACAACCACTGAGTGTCTGACAATACTGAGACAAGACGAGACGACTCGGACTACCAAAACACTACAACCACACAACATGACGACGTACAGTGCGAGTAGGGGAGAAACGGAGTGTTGGCCTCATCGGTCAACGACCCTTCTTCCCCTTCTCGCTGTGTCTCCTCGTGCCCCCTCGAGTGTCGGATGTCAACCTCTTCCTCCCTCGTGAGGATGAAGAAGTCCGTGCAGCGGAGCGTCTAGATGCACGCGTCGGTGGGGGTCCTGGGGAAGGTGGGGGCTCATCGTAGTCGTCGTCGTCACCATCGGAACCGCTCCTGCTATCCTCCTCTCCCTCCTCCTCGCCCTCGTAGTCCTTGTCCGCATCCCGCACAGCCGCATCTGTATCAGGATCATCCTCCTCGATGGTGACTGGGCCTCCTCCCTTCCTCAACACAACAACCCTCGCACTAGCCTCTGCAATGGTCTGCTCACGGCGGGAACCACGAGGCATCCCCAACCCCTCCGCCCCCGAACTCTCTCCAAGTGCTGCGCCTCCCTCTGCAGGCACGGGGCGTGGACGAGGAGGTACTCCACGCTTGCGTGGAGTCCGCTCCTGCACGGCACGCATCGTTGCTCTCAGAGCGTACTCCAAGGTATCGGTCGACACTCCTCTGCCACGACCTCGCTGAGGCTCACAACCCGATGCCGGTACCTCCCTCGCTGTGGTCGTCCTAGCGCCTCCTCCTCCCAAGCCCGGCTGAAGGCGTGCAGTGTGCTCCGTGACACGGCGGGTGGAATCCAAATGTATATCTGTCCTCCCGAATATCGTCATGTCACACACGTCCTGCTGAACTGCTGTCGTGTCACGAATCCTAGATCTCCAGGGCGTGTGTGGGGACCGAGAGCCTCTGCCTGTGGGTGACGATGATGGATCACCTGCAGGTGCTCTGGGAGGAGGGGGTGGCATGTCTCCTGTGCGTGGCGCTGTCTCCGTCACGCCGCCCGAAACCCCTGGAACATGTCCCGCGGTATGTCCTCCAGTGGAGGTAGACCCAGACCACACGGGCGACGCAGGACCCCATGGAACCGAAGGGATCGACTGCCACGGTGGGTGCTCGAGCTTCCGGTCGAAGATCCGCCGGTCCAAGCGAGTAACATCGCGCACAGCCTCTCTCGCCAACTCCTCTGCATCCAAAGGACGACGGACCTCCTGCGGAGCAAAGTGGCTAGGAAGACGTGGGGGCACAACCACCGGCTCGGACCCCAAAACTGTGATAACGGGCGGTGGCACACCATGCACTGCCATCTGAACCGCCTGCGGCTATCAAGCCTGAGCCAAGTGCAGGCCCGAGAACGGAATGACTTGACCCGTCGCTGTCTCCTGCCCCTCGCGTCGTGAGTCTATAGCCCCCTCGACTCGTCGCTGTCCTGCCTGCACTGC